TTCACCATTTAAGGTATATAATTTCATAATACTATTTCTATTTTTTATATATAAAATAGTATATAAATAATAAATTTGTTTATTTTATTAAATATTTATGATTTATTTACTAATTTTTTTAGAAGAATTTAAAAATAATAAATCAATTAAAAATTATATGATATTTCTGATATTTAATTTATTTCTTTATTTTTAACTTATTTATTAATATTTTTGGTTTTTTCAATAAGAATAAAAATTGTCATAATAAATAGATACATATGCAATATATTTTATTATATTACATAATATATATAATATATATAAATATGATATTTGTATTTTATACATATATATATATATATATATGTGTGTATATATATGATATTTTGTATTTGTAATGTATTTGTATATTGCATGCAGCATTTTGTGGATGAATTAGATGATGTGGTAATATTTTATGTGATGTTATACAAGAATATCAGATTTATATCAAAATTATAATAGAATATTTTAATTATTTAATTTTTTAGTGTTATTTTATTATATATTTTTCAGTCTGGGGAATTTGTTGTAATCAAGACAGATTTAAATGAAGAATATCCTCCTCTTTGGAGAATAGATGGTAAAACATTATTACAAAAATATGAACCATTTAAATCTAATGGCAAAACTTTATATCGAAACATATCTACGGTAATAAATTATTATTTTTTTAAATTTTTTAATTTTCTATTAAATTATATGTATATGCATATGATATATGTATATATATCAATTATCTTTTAGTATTCGGGTTGGGCACCACAAAATCGACATATATATCAACAAGTTCCAGTAAAATTCTTACAACAAGGTAAAGCAGAAACAATAGTAGAGTTTTTAAGAGATGAAATGATTATTGATAATAAGTAAGTATTATTATTATATAACATAAATAATATATGAAAATTAAATAAATAAGAAATTATCACATTTTTTTGATTTTTAGCGAATGTATTGATAAATCTATGAAGGATACTGAAAAATATCAAGATAATTTTGAAGTATATATTCAAACATTGATATCACAAGCTTTGGATTCTAATTTTCTAACAGAAATATTTCAAGAACAAGGTTAAATTTCTATTTAATATAATTATATATTAAAAAAATTTTTTTCTTGTAATTTACACATATAAATTTTATGTAATTATTTTAATTTATATAGATGATTATTTCTTATCAAACGTAAAAACTGTGGATGAAGTAACGGAAGAAAGGAAACAACGGCTTTTATCTACAACGAAATGGCGATCAAATGTTATAAATGCAATATCAACTTGGCCATGTCTTAATGTTCTTAAAGATATACCATTTACAGAATATAAAGGAAAGTCATGTGCTGGATGCCAACAGTTTAAAATTCATGCTAGAGTTCTATTGTATGGTCAACCATACAATGCTACTACATTAGAAGGTTCTCCACCTGATCCAAGAATACCTCAAGAAAAAGTACTTAAATTATTTTTTTGATTATTATTTACTTTTTTTAGTTGATATTAAAAAAATTTATTTATATAATTAGTTAATTAATTTTTTAGGATTTTTTATTGTGTCGAATATGTCAAGCAAAAGTTGCTTTATATAATAAGGTTGCACATCAGAAATATTTAATGTTTTTGGAATGTGCAAGAAGAGTTGCAGATAAGAGAGTAGCAGATCCTCATAAAGATACCACAATAATATTGAATGAATTATTAGCTGATGAAACATGGTTAAATCAAGTAAGTCAAAATATTTTTTAAAATACTTTAATAATATGAAAATATTTATTAGAATAACTTAAAAAAACATAATTTTTTCAGTTATTTAAAGAAGTTAGAACAATCTGGGCAGAAATAGATAATTTGGAATATCAAGCAAAAACAAAATCAAGTTTAAAATCAATATTTTCTTCTACAGCAAGTAGTACAGAAGAAATGAATGAAAATATTTCAATAAAACAACCAATTGAAATGACTGCTAATATTTCGGATTCACAGGTGCCTACACAGAAAACCGAAGAGACTTCTGAAATAGTGTCTTGCGATGTGCAAATGAGCAGTATACCATCTTAGTGGTGCTACAATAATAGAAATTGGCTTCGTTTTATACAATGCCTGAAGAGCATTAAAGATTTAGTGTGTATTGACTTAATAGACATGAAGAAGATCAAACATTTAAATATTGTATTTTGATGATAAATATTTAAATTGAGTTAATATAATATGCTGTGAAACAAATGGTGAAGATAAACATTAATGTGTAATCAAGAAATTGTAGTTATAGTGATAACAAGTAGTGAATGATGAGGTAAGTAAAAAGGCGATTTAAAAAGCGTATAAATATCAGACATATGTATATAAAATATTCATCTCTACGTTAAAATTTTAGAAATGAGCCCAATTTTGCCATTTTAATAGCATGATAATAGAGATTTACGAATGTTTGTGTGCATAAATATTTAGTTCTAGATTTGTATCGTGATAACCTAATATAATGATATATTAAGATATGTAGGTCTGATATGTTAAGATCTGAAAAAAAAAATGCGAAAGACAAATGATTTTAAAATATAAAGTGATAAAACATAAAAAACGTCACAATCTTTGTAATATATTTAAATACATCATACTTTCTATAACTACAAAGTTCTGTGTAAAATACAGAAATATATTGTTTGTTCCTGTAATTATAACTTTTAAAATCGAACATTTTCTTTATGAATTAGTTTACATATATTTTTTTTTTTTAATAATTTAACAAATGTAAACGATATTTATGTGCATGTTAATTTGTATATAAGCAGATCATGCAACTACAAAATTTATACGTATGAAATACGTTAGTAATATTCAGAAGTGTTCCAAAATAGCATTCTGTTAATAAAATGCTTCATGATAAATGCAATATTTTGAAAATATGCATTGTTTTCTTTTTAGAAAATATTAGATACTTTGTAAAACATTTGTATATAGAAATACTTTTAATAAGATTAGGATTATATCTTCACTTCTAATTCAACTATATGTATTATATCTTCCATTATAATTCCAGCTTAATAATTCAATACCAAGTTTCTAAGTTCTTCCATCTTAAAATAACTTTCATAAGATAATTCCATTCTCATTTTATAAAATATGAATATCACTTTAGATCATTTATTTTTGTGAATAATCCTGTGACTAGCAACATGCGCATATTATGTATGGAGTATGAGTGAATGTTCCATAAAAAATGTATCTATTTTCATAGAAATCTTGGTAATATCAATGCTTTAAGATGTCTAATGAGCAAAATTACATTTTTTATAATAGCATATAATCAGAGTTTACATCATATCTTCCTTTTCAAATCTTATATAGTAATCAATAAAAAATAAACAAATTGTTAATAAAGAACGTATTATTAAAATTAAATCAAATATAATTAATTATTTAGAAGTATTTAAACTTCTAATGTTTTTTCAAGACTTAATAATTTTAATAGTAGTTATTCTATTTAGTAATTATATATATATATTAATTTAATAATATAATTTTAAAAAATTTTACTTTGCTATAAAATTTTTAAGAATTTCAAATATAAATACATCTTGACAAAATAATTAAAGATACTTTTATAGATTTTCAATAGCTAATATAAAATTAAAAATAAAATAATATTTGCTAACAAATTTTTTATATGTTAAATGTTATACTTCAAATTGAATTATCATTACTGTGTTAAAATAATTATTGTATTATAATTTTTGTGTTATCATTGTTTAAATCTTTAAATCTTAAGTTTTTTAAGTTTTTAATCTATTTTTAGCTTTCTTAAGAAAAAAATATTCTCTAAAAATGAGAATGGTGATATGCGTGTGTGGCGCGATGTATTTTTCAAAGATGATATATCAAATTATATTTGTAAATTATATATACGAAAATATGATGATAAGAACAGGTGACTATTATGTTAAAATTATAGGATTTTAGACATCTTTCATATGCTATAGTAAAATGAAATTATTGTATTAGCGATTATTATCGGGTTACCGAATTGTATAATAAATTATTGGAGAAAATTAATAACATGCAAAAATGCGGGCATTTGGTCACTGATGCAATAAAGAAATGTAAATGCAGTTACAAAATATTTTCTTTTTAGCAAATGTGCCATGCAATATTTCATATTGATAAACAAGCTGGTGCTATGTATATATTCATTTATTGTTCACAAAAATTTCATTCAAAAATTTTAATCATTTAAAATTCATTAGAATATTATTAATAATTTGTTAAAAAAATTAACAAAAATTCACAGAATTAAAGTATTATATATAGCACTAGCTTAAAAATGTTATATTAGCATATAGAAGGTAATATTGTTATATTGTATTTTTTTAAAACATAAATATGTATGTTTATTTTTTCAACTGTAAACTTATTACTTTCTAAATCATGATCAAGTATGCTTTCTTAATCATGAGATTACAGTATTTCTGTTACTACGATTTAAAAAAGAAGATATGATAAAAAAATAGCAAAATTTTACTTGGATAATTTATGTTTTTATTAATCTTTTTTCAATAAAATGAAAAATTTTATAAGACTGTGTATTACTAATATCTTATCTAGCTATTATGTATATTATTCAATATCCATTAAATCCATGATTTTATAAATTTTTATTTTTAATAGTTTATTTTTATATATATATATATATATACATGTAATATTCTAACATATGTAAATTTGATTATTTATTTTATGCATTGTAATTATAAAACATATAAATAGTTTTTATTTCTAGATCTAATAACTTTTTTTGTTTTACTATAACTATCATATTATTTCATAATTTATATAGTTTTATTAAATAGTTTTCATGCAAAAGGTTCTAGAAAAAATAGTTACAGCACTGATATAGAGGTTAAGTACAAAATCACAATGAGCATGCGCTTCTGATTGCTTCTCTTTCCCCGTTCCCCGCAACACCGTTACTATTCTGATTTCCAGTTCGCGTTTGTTGCCCGTGAAGGATGCCTTCTGCCAACCCTAAACTAGAAAAACAGGCCTCTACGGAGACCGTAGATCCTATACGCCAAGCAATTATCGTTATCGAACATAAGATACGGAATCTTGAAAAGCGTAAGGTAAGTATTTGAATAATATGCATGTAAATAGTGTCGAGAAAATTACCTGTCAGTTGATAGCTTTTACGGTGCAATCCGCCATGATTGGATACGCCATGTGCTCACGTTTGAGATTTTGTAGGTATCTGATTATTATATTGTGAAGAGTTAATTACTATTATTATATTTTGAAACTAGAAATTTTTCATTAAAACTAAATAAAAGCAAAATTATTTTTCTTTGTTCAATCAAACATCCGAGTTTGTAATTATGAATCTCATGTCATGGCGGTATCTTCTAAAGAAATGTACAAAACTTTACGTGACACGCTTTCTAGCCGCTACCGGTATATTATATTGTGTAATAATATTTTTCATTTAACAAAATATTATAAATTTAAATATGAAATTTAAATACATAAATTGCATTAAAATACATTTTAATATACAAGAAATTCTTTATTTATCTTCGTTTATAATATTTGATAAATTAATTTTCTGAAAATATACAATTTCATAAAGAAATTAAAAATTTGTATAAAAATTTATTTTTTATATAAAAATAAATCATTACATGTATACATAGATTTTTATTTATTCAAAGTTAACAATCATATAAAAGTAATTCTCTTTCTATGAATTAATTAGTTTGTCTAAATTATATATGTATATGCGTGTACATATACACACATATGCAATATATATAATACCTATATATATTATTAAAAAAATAAATTTTTTCTTGTTTTTTTTTATAAAAATTATTTTTATTTTATTATACGTATTATTTATATATTATAATTCTTTATTATATATAATTAATTTTATTAATTATATTATAATATTTTAATAACTAACAGTTAATTTTAATAATTAACAGTATATGTTACATTTAGGGAAAGTTAGAATCATATAGGGATCTTCAAAAAAATGGAAGAGAATTAAATGCAGATCAGAAAACAGCAGTAGCCAAATATGATGAAGTTTTACAAACATTGGATATTACAAAAGAATTATATAAACAAATTGTTGGAATTGCACATGATGCAGTTAAACAACAAAAAAAATTGGCAAGAAAAGAAGCCATTGAGAGAATGCAACAAGATATTGCAAAGGTAAATTAATTATTAATTAATATTATATATTAGGATTTATAATATAAATAATTTATTTCAGTTTATTAAATGTTTTTTATATTTATTAATTATTTTAGGTGAGAGAAGTTCTTCTTATACAAGATGCATTAATGAACATGGGTACAGAATCTGTAAGAGAAGATTTCCTTGCTGGAAAAAATGGTGCTGTAAAATTATCAGAAGAGGATTTAAAATCTTTAGACAGCTTGTATAATGAAGTTATGATGAAACATCATCGAGAAGAAGGAGAACCAACATTCCTTCAACAAGTACAGAAAGTAGCAGAACATTATGTAGCTATTGTTGATGGAAAACAAAGAGAAGTTGTTGGCACAACTTACAATAAATTAAAGGAAATTATTACTTCTATTAATCAATGTGGGTATTTTGATCAAGTTCATGAAACTGAAGCTGTAGTAGAAGAAGTAAGTATTTATATGTTAATTTGCATTATATATAATATGTTATTTTTGTAATTAATTTATAAACAAAATTAATTAAAAAATTAAGAAAGAAGAAATGACAATAATTTTATTGAAATTTTTATAGGTTACAGAAGCAATTGCAGAAACTCAAATATCTGAAACTCCTGTGCAAGATCAAGTCAATGAAGAATATAATACCAATGACAGACACATTCCACCTGAGTCAATGATTCCAATTCCTAATTTCCCAGTACAAGTTGCTCCTCTTCCTGTTGTTTCTGGCACTACCCCAGTTTCTGGTCCAATTCCTGTAGTTGCACAACCTATTCCTCATCCAGCTGCACCAGTTGAAACATCTTATTACACAAATGCAACAGGATTTGTTCCACAGCCACAACAACAACAACAGCAATCTCAACAAACTCAACAACAACCACCACAAGCTCCCAGAATTAATGATGTCATAGGCACACCAAATTTCTTTTTCTTACAAGAATCAGAACTTGATTCACCAGATGTTACTTCTCAAGCACCCATTGTATCACACATTCCTGCTGCTGTTAATGCACCTATTCCTTCACAAACATTTACAAATCAAAATTTTGCAAATGCACCAGTAGTAGCACAACCAGTTATATATCAGCATCAACCGCCACAGGATATGTCCCACATTCCTGGATTTGCTAATCCTAATCCACCACCACCTATTCCAATGCCACCTTCTCATCAACAACCAAATATGCAGTATAGTCCTCAGCATCCTACAACTTTTCAACAGCAACCCCAACAACAACAACAACAGCAGCCGCCGCAGCAGCAGCAGCAGCAGCAACAACAACAACAACAACAACAACAACAAGCTCCTTCACAACAAGTATCACAACAAGCACAAACTCAGACTTTTGAACATCAACAAGAAAATCAACAACAAACTATTGAAGTATATTACAAATATTATATTACTAATAAAATAACATATTTTA